TTTGCAAAGTTTTGGAAAACTTATAAAATTGAGTCTCCAGGATATGTGCGAATACTCCTTGATTTCTTACTGTGATACACTCCGGTGGCTACTAGATGAAGATCATGGAACATGAACAAGGAATGCTTTGCATTCATTTACATGCACGGAGTATCATGGAACATGAACAAGGAATGCTTTGCATTCATTTACATGCACGGAGTATTGCTCCAGTTTGCGCTATAGCGCTATAGCGTCCCTTCATGCTTAGTGCACGTATACGATAATGGATCAATTCCTCAGTGTGCTATTTGTTTGATGAGCTTACAATTAGCTGACTTTGCTATGTACGGCTCGATTACAAGCCCTTCAATCTCTTACCCCTTGATACGATCCCCAAGATGTGGCAAATCCCACGCTTGACCTTGGTTTTAAGCAATTCCTTGGCAAGGAAATCGTGCATATGTGCAAGCACAAGATAAAAATCATATTTGGCTCATGTTGCTCCAGATATTCAGATAGTAAACGGTCTGAGTCTATTGTTGACGATAGATACGTTTACAGTCTACAGTTTACATTTCTGGTACTGTGCTTCACGAAGAAGGAAAGGTAGATTTGAGGTCAGAGTTCTGCCCTGCGTCATGGTGCACAGCTTTTCAAAAATTAAACTCTTCAGACTATTCATTTGTAAGCACTGTGTATTGCAAGTCGGCAAGCAGCATCAAAGAGCAATCTTCCGAGCGGTAAGTGATTGGTTTTTTCTGGCTTTTTGGATAGGACAAGCTCTTAAAAACTTGGTAAGAAATTTACTGTGCAGCTTGAAAATCTCTTAATCCTGTCGGTTTTCTATTATGTCACAACGTCTATAAAAACAAAGATAGGTTACAGTCATTCTATTCCATTTCATTACAGCTAAAGAATCGCGCTTTTGAGCTATGGTGTGCAACTCCACGATCTTTGATGGATTTGATGATCAGACACGATCAACGCGCTGACATGATCTAATGATGATTGCCCAGCTGTTACAAAACGATTGAGAATATGTTTTTATGCGCTTGTTAGCTAATTCCCATGGTTCAACCGTGCAAAAGCAAAATTCCTCACACCATATGAGTAAACAATTTAACCATAAAAGCTGGGGGTGCAGTGGTAGAACACATTATCTGCTCTACTCCACTTGACTGTCACATAATCTTTTGAAGTGCTTTCCAACAACATCCTGAAGGCACCGTCCACCCTAGGTTGAAGGTCTTGAACTTTTGGCGGCATATGATGGTAGGCCCCCTATCAAGTCAACGCTCAAGGTGGGGCGAATCCGGGTGGACGGTGACTTTAAGAGCTTCTTAGGTTAGATTACTCGAAATGCAATGTCCAAAAACAGCTGTTTTGGTGCATTGAAAAAGCAGTGCGCAACAGACGCCGTATTAGAAGCATCTTTCAAGACTATAATTTTGCTCAACAACTTACGTACGGCGCCGCTCCTGTTTACATCTTGTCAGCGAAAAATATAAGTTACCATTTATATATTTGTGAACGTAATATAGAATAATAGTCACCGCATCTCAGAATCATCGTTTCGCACAAGCTTGCCTATCATTTTAACAATCAGCCGTTAAACTTTGCATCGAATGCTTGCAAATTTTTCTCGACATGTTGCCTCATTAAGACTGCAGTGCACTTCTGCGTTGCAATTCTAGAATGAAAACGCTCCTACTGCTGTTAACTATCGGAGGCACACTCTGCCTCTCCATACACAATTCTTACTACCCGTACGACTACAACAATTATCAGGTTAGCAGTGCATTGAAGCCGCCTTGTCACAATATCAAGAATATTCATAATTGTATCCAAAAACAACAAAAACTGAAGTGGGAACGGTTACCACTATCGAAAATGGCTATTGTTTGGTATGTAAAGTAAGACAGAGCTTGAGTTGCTAGTGCTGATTAGATGAATACTGATTGAATTCAAAATAGTCATGAAACAGAGAGTAACGTGTCTAGAACGCAAACAGTCGCAACAGTGCACTGGACCAGCTTCTAGCCAGAGCTCCTCCTCAAGCTATCAACGGCTATTTTCAAATCGTACAGGTGCGTGTAACATGCTTGATAATTATTTTCGGATAGCACAAGATGTAAAAAACATCATTTATTCAGAACTTTTCCCAGTCACTCGCTTTTTTGAGGACAAACTTTGAAAATTGGGCCAAAACGTACGGACTTGAGGTATGCCTTTAGAAAGTTCAAGGACGATCCAAGCCTACGCTTCATGATTTCAGCAAGAATACAGGAGGTTCCTCACGGAATCGCAAAGGGAAAATGCGGACCTGAAAAAAGCCATTAGTGAATTATATCCCATGCTTACAAAGTTTCTCACTGACTACATGAATTATGGGAATGACAAGGTGCTTTGGTATCTCCATGTGAAAGCATTGTCGTGACTTGTCAAGTTTCTAGCGGCGATCAGTCATGCTAGCCTTCAACAGAACTGCATCACTGACGAATAGACCTGACAGCAGGCAAAATGAGATTGTTCAATCCATAATAGAGTTGTATCTCTCATCATTGGCTGGTGCTGGGACCAATAGCAGAGGTGAAATCAAAGTGTAAATGAAGAGTAGCATTTTTGCACATTGTGTCTTTTCTCCAGCTAATGGGCAGGCAAAGCAGTGGTATCAACGCAGAGTACTCAACGGTGTGTTCAATGGAAACAACGCGATTTACAATGGACCCAATGGCGGCGGACTATTGAATGGCTGGGGCCCGGGAGTCAATGGGATGGGATACGGTGAGAATTAGGAAGTTAAGGTTATGGAATCTAAAAAAAAATGCTTCAGATGAAAATTATAAAGTGAAAAATGAATAAGTGTTTGATAGCGTGTGTTCCTTACAACCACAAGATGTACTCTGGATGTCCCAAAAAGTAACTGTGATTTTTGCAGTTAATGGAAGAATGCCTTCTGGAACCTTTGGTTACAACTACGGTAACAGTTACTCCACAAATCAAAGGAGAAGTGGATGGATTCCAAGTACTCTATAATGGCTTCACGGGCAATAGCGTATGCAGTGATGCAACCCTGGTCTGCACCAGAAATTCTATCAAGCCATTTCCACTCTGTAATAATTGTATGATAAATGATGTAGCTACTTCTTATATGCTTCTTATGATGTGTGTACTGCAGTCCAAACAAACATCTATGGCACGAAGAGCACTGCATGAAGTAGCATAGCATATAGCATCAAGTGAAGCAGACAATGCAGAAGCATATCATAGTCGACTCAATCAAAATCCGTATCATCAAAGTATCATAATCCTACTATAATAACGCGCTAAGAGTGTTTACGTGCCGCTTTGCATTTGGCCCACAAAATTGGGTCCGTAATTCCACTTTTTGCAGAATGGTGGGTGTTTATGGCAATTAAATGTGCAAGCCATGAACTTAGGCCCAAATAAGTGACCAAAAGTCCATTACTTTACAAAAACGGCGCCAAAAAGTATTGCTTGCATAAATGGTCAATTTGCCAAGGTTCTAAAAAAGCATTTGAAAAGATTTTCGCACAGAGATGTAGCTCACGGTGACTATTGTGCTTTCGCAGCAGCTTTGACACTATCAATGACTGACGATTTTTGCATTAGTGTCCTTTTCGTCATTTTATTTCAATTTTCTTGAAGTTTGGTCGCTGCACAATGTGGTGAAGATGCTACTTTCGATTCAAATTACTTCCAGTCTCTTACAAAGGTGTCAGCTGACTGACTTTTCTGTGGATGCGCAACGGCCACTCCATTTTTTGAATTATCCTTTTTGGTAAATGTGAATGAACGGAAAAGCAAATGCATGCTGCTCTTGGTTTTTACAAGTGAAAGAACAAGTCACCCATCTTCCTTCATTACTGTAGGATCACGGTAAAAACTTCAAAGAGCGTTGTAAGCAAGACCATATTTTGCCTCAGAAAAAAAGAAAACAGTCTGAAAACTTTTACGAAAGCGATCGGTGATTCGCTCTAAATGTAAATCTAAGTTGAAGCTAGCTTTACAAAGTCGTACTCAAAACTTCTTAGAAGACTTCATCTCAAGAGAGTCATTAACAGTCAAACAGTATGCACATTTTTTGAGACACTCAATATAATGATAAATGAATATAGGTGAGGCGTTGCGCCGATTTCCCCGCGTGCCAGATCTCGTAAATCGAGACCACTCGACCTTTGCGAGATGTGCCGAAAAATGCACAGGTGCTGTGGAAAGTGCTGCGGGAACCACATAGTAGCTGCTGGCTATTCCTTTGAGCGCGTTTCTCTTTCAATGCACTGACAGCTGTGAATATGAGCAGAGTGTGGTTATGGGAGTAAAAATGCATGATTTGATTTGATCTGCGTATGTTCAAACTGTTCTTAGTCACTACTGTCAAATGATTACTTGCATAAAAAAAGTCATCCATAGAAAAATTCAGTCAGCTGACACCTTTGTAAGAGACTGGAAGTAATTCAATCGAAAGTAGCATTCTCACCACATTGTGCAGCGACCGAAATTCAAGAAAATTGAAATAAAATGATGAAAACGATACTAATGCAAAAATCGTTAGTCATTGATATTGTGCAAAGCTGCTGCGAAAGCACCCAAAACACTGCTCCACTGCTGTCGTAGCCATACTTTTCCCAGAGTGCAATTAATCTCCGTTATTTGAGGTAATCAAAGCAAGCATCTGTTTTTGTTTCAAACAAAATTGATCACGCTCGTTTTCTTCCAAAATATTAGTCATACTTTGATGATACGGATTTTGATTGAGTCGACTATGATATGCTTCTGCATTGTCTGCTTCACTTGATGCTATATGCTATGCTACTTCATGCAGTGCTCTTCGTGCCATAGATGTTTGTTTGGACTGCAGTACACACATCATAAGAAGCATATAAGAAGTAGCTACATCATTTATCATACAATTATTACAGAGTGGAAATGGCTTGATAAAATTTCTGGTGCAGACCAGGGTTGCATCACTGCATACGCTATTGCCCGTGAAGCCATTATAGAGTACTTGGAATCCATCCACTTCTCCTTTGATTTGTGGAGTAACTGTTACCGTAGTTGTAACCAAAGGTTCCAGAAGGCATTCTTCCATTAACTGCAAAAATCACAGTTACTTTTTGGGACATCCAGAGTACATCTTGTGGTTGTAAGGAACACACGCTATCAAACACTTATTCATTTTTCACTTTATAATTTTCATCTGAAGCATTTTTTTTAGATTCCATAACCTTAACTTCCTAATTCTCACCGTATCCCATCCCATTGACTCCCGGGCCCCAGCCATTCAATAGTCCGCCGCCATTGGGTCCATTGTAAATCGCGTTGTTTCCATTGAACACACCGTTGCTTCCCCAGTAACTTCCAGAGTTTCCTGCCTGCCCATTAGCTGGAGAAAAGACACAATGTGCAAAAATGCTACTCTTCATTTACACTTTGATTTCACCTCTGCTATTGGTCCCAGCACCAGCCAATGATGAGAGATACAACTCTATTATGGATTGAACAATCTCATTTTGCCTGCTGTCAGGTCTATTCGTCAGTGATGCAGTTCTGTTGAAGGCTAGCATGACTGATCGCCGCTAGAAACTTGACAAGTCACGACAATGCTTTCACATGGAGATACCAAAGCACCTTGTCATTCCCATAATTCATGTAGTCAGTGAGAAACTTTGTAAGCATGGGATATAATTCACTAATGGCTTTTTTCAGGTCCGCATTTTCCCTTTGCGATTCCGTGAGGAACCTCCTGTATTCTTGCTGAAATCATGAAGCGTAGGCTTGGATCGTCCTTGAACTTTCTAAAGGCATACCTCAAGTCCGTACGTTTTGGCCCAATTTTCAAAGTTTGTCCTCAAAAAAGCGAGTGACTGGGAAAAGTTCTGAATAAATGATGTTTTTTACATCTTGTGCTATCCGAAAATAATTATCAAGCATGTTACACGCACCTGTACGATTTGAAAATAGCCGTTGATAGCTTGAGGAGGAGCTCTGGCTAGAAGCTGGTCCAGTGCACTGTTGCGACTGTTTGCGTTCTAGACACGTTACTCTCTGTTTCATGACTATTTTGAATTCAATCAGTATTCATCTAATCAGCACTAGCAACTCAAGCTCTGTCTTACTTTACATACCAAACAATAGCCATTTTCGATAGTGGTAACCGTTCCCACTTCAGTTTTTGTTGTTTTTGGATACAATTATGAATATTCTTGATATTGTGACAAGGCGGCTTCAATGCACTGCTAACCTGATAATTGTTGTAGTCGTACGGGTAGTAAGAATTGTGTATGGAGAGGCAGAGTGTGCCTCCGATAGTTAACAGCAGTAGGAGCGTTTTCATTCTAGAATTGCAACGCAGAAGTGCACTGCAGTCTTAATGAGGCAACATGTCGAGAAAAATTTGCAAGCATTCGATGCAAAGTTTAACGGCTGATTGTTAAAATGATAGGCAAGCTTGTGCGAAACGATGATTCTGAGATGCGGTGACTATTATTCTATATTACGTTCACAAATATATAAATGGTAACTTATATTTTTCGCTGACAAGATGTAAACAGGAGCGGCGCCGTACGTAAGTTGTTGAGCAAAATTATAGTCTTGAAAGATGCTTCTAATACGGCGTCTGTTGCGCACTGCTTTTTCAATGCACCAAAACAGCTGTTTTTGGACATTGCATTTCGAGTAATCTAACCTAAGAAGCTCTTAAAGTCACCGTCCACCCGGATTCGCCCCACCTTGAGCGTTGACTTGATAGGGGGCCTACCATCATATGCCGCCAAAAGTTCAAGACCTTCAACCTAGGGTGGACGGTGCCTTCAGGATGTTGTTGGAAAGCACTTCAAAAGATTATGTGACAGTCAAGTGGAGTAGAGCAGATAATGTGTTCTACCACTGCACCCCCAGCTTTTATGGTTAAATTGTTTACTCATATGGTGTGAGGAATTTTGCTTTTGCACGGTTGAACCATGGGAATTAGCTAACAAGCGCATAAAAACATATTCTCAATCGTTTTGTAACAGCTGGGCAATCATCATTAGATCATGTCAGCGCGTTGATCGTGTCTGATCATCAAATCCATCAAAGATCGTGGAGTTGCACACCATAGCTCAAAAGCGCGATTCTTTAGCTGTAATGAAATGGAATAGAATGACTGTAACCTATCTTTGTTTTTATAGACGTTGTGACATAATAGAAAACCGACAGGATTAAGAGATTTTCAAGCTGCACAGTAAATTTCTTACCAAGTTTTTAAGAGCTTGTCCCATCCAAAAAGCCAGAAAAAACCAATCACTTACCGCTCGGAAGATTGCTCTTTGATGCTGCTTGCCGACTTGCAATGCACAGTGCTTGCAAATGAATAGTCTGAAGAGTTTAATTTTTGAAAAGCTGTGCACCATGACGCAGGGCAGAACTCTGACCTCAAATCTATTCCTTCTTCGTGAAGCACAGTACCAGAAATGTAAACTGTAGACTGTAAACGTATCTATCGTCAACAATAGACTCAGACCGTTTACTATCTGAATATCTGGAGCAACATGAGCCAAATATGATTTTTATCTTGTGCTTGCACATATGCACGATTTCCTTGCCAAGGAATTGCTTAAAACCAAGGTCAAGCGTGGGATTTGCCACATCTTGGGGATCGTATCAAGGGGTAAGAGATTGAAGGGCTTGTAATCGAGCCGTACATAGCAAAGTCAGCTAATTGTAAGCTAATCAAACAAAATAGCACACTGAGGAATTGATCCATTATCGTATACGTGCACTAAGCATGATAAGGACGCTCTATAAAACAAAATGAGCATGATTTCCTTGACTGGCATGTTAAATAAATAACCCATGTGGACCACTTTTAGTGAATTTAGGAGTTTTCAGTTATCGAGCCACTACTGTGTAACGGCTATTTTCGATCACGACTAACTATAATTTGAAGGTGAGTATCTCCAGGTTGGGTCAATAACGAGCTCACTCTTTTCTGCAGGCGTGGATTGCAATGCCGACCGCGATTACCCGGCGTCGCGTTCGCGGAGAATGGCTGAGCATTTTGCCAACTTCCGCTTGATGATGCCTATTTAAGCCTTGAGTCCTTCTTTTTCCATAACTTTTTTTCGATGTTCTTATCAATATCGTCGCAGGGCGTTGCACGTTTTTTCTTATTTTAGTGACTAGTGGTAATAAAATATTTTAATATTTTCAGTATTTTGGAATATTTGAAAATATTTATAAAAATATTTTAGTCCAGGTTCAACATTGAGTTTATTTGGTTGTTCATGAACGGGTGGGGGAACGAAAGCAGCCAGGTCCAGCCGCCTTTCGCGGCCAGCTGGTCCTTCCGCAGCGTTGTTGCATGTCGTTCCAGGACCAGCAGTCCGCGGAGGCGGCTGGACCTGGCGGCTTTCGTTCCCCCACCCTTCATGAACACTACATGTCAGTCTGATTGTGTAGACATTAGCCATTCTGAGATTGGATGCCCAAAAAACTTTGCAGCTTGTGATCAGCGCTACTACCAGTGGTGTTCAATGAGTTAACACGCGAAATAGCGAGAAACTAGTGCTGGTCAAACAACGCGTGTGTTACTGGTATGGAGTATCTTCTCAGAGGTGGCATCAAAACGGACAAAACTAAATTCGTTCTTGTTTAATTGGTAGTTTCATGCGGTATGTGTGGAAATACTGAAAATTAATCAAGTTAACAAAGAAAGTGAACTTGAAAGAATCAATTTTGTGATTGTTGAGAAAAACACGAAAATTCGGGCTTTCCAGTGCTATCCAGCACAAATTGGCAAGGCACTCAAGTCTTACGCTCGCAAATGTGGCGCAAGGATGCGGAGGTACTGCGGAAAGGGAGCTCATCACACATCCTGTACCCTTTTTCACTTATACTAGACTACACTGCACTACACTCCGAACTTACACTAGTATTAGATCGAAACAATCTCAGTCAGTTTACTCTTTGGGATACAAAATTTTTTAGTGTCTTCAATTATGGAAATTTTTGGAAGTGGGAAAATAAGCCATCTAGATATACAATATCGCGTTCCTCACGCAAACAGGATATTGTAGATATTACTACGCAACAATTTCCGGCATCTTTGTTTTGCCAAACCAGATGTACAGATTGTTTTGTAGCTTGACGGAATCAGAAACATGTGCATGTGCAACGAACAATCAATGCGATCACCCATTCGTTAGCTCTATGGTGTTTCGGAAATTATTGCAATCATTCCATTTACGCTTATTCACACATTTAAAAGCAACAGTTCCAGTTCAGAGATTTTGTGCATATAAAGCATACACATCTCTTGACAAACAAAATAATAAGCAAACAGATGGCTCTTCTTGCGGTTTTCTTCATAAAGTGTTCCCACATGTAGTTTTCCGAGCAATCATCTCTCGCAATGTGTAAATTCTTTCTCCAAAAGAGCATTCTCTAAACTATTTTAGTATTCATGTCTGAACATTAGCTCTCTCTTATTTTCTGAACCTTGATTTTGTGATGCACGCACCTACTGTCTATACGTATATGTCTGAAAACGCTCAATAGTTACATAATCTTGTGTAGACGGGAAACTTGCCTGTTTATAGCCTAAATAGGCTCCATGAGTGCAGCTATTCGCTGTGAATAAACGCTGCAATGCAGACTATCATATGCAAATCATGACAACTTCCGCGTTTCCCTAAGCTTCTTTGACTTTCTTTAATCATAATTATTCGTTTGATAATGCTTCCATTATTGAAGCAAAACGTTGCGAGAGTGCAAACGCATTTCGTGAAAAAAAAGTATGATTATAGGACGGCATAAACGATGGAATTGTTTAGATTTAGTGACTCATGGATTACATATTCATGAGTCACGAGAGGATTTCTCAGTAGTTTGAGCACATCAGTCAGAACTCCTCTGCTGCTGACCACCTCATTGGCCTCTCTATATAACCGATTACCTTTCAGGGAATCTGACGGAAGTACCACTTATCTCGAACTTGCATTAAGCTGCAATTAGTTAAAAATGAACAGGTAAGATTAAATTAGACATGTAGCTCCATTCTGCCGTTTTTTTTTTCAAATTGTACTGGGTATCCTTAAGAAAATGTGTCGTTCAATTAATGACTTATCTATAGGGAAAATTTCCACGGATCTTTGAGTGTCATAGGTAGAGCTGGGTTCAACTTAGATTAACTCTATAGAGCGAATCACCGATTTCTCCTAATACTGTAGGATCACGGAAGAAATTTCGACTAATTGCAAGCTTTGACAGGCGAGAACTGCGTCTGAAAATTCCAAAAAAGGACGTCAGAATGAGGTTTTCTTGGATGCTGAATCTAGTTACAAAGCATTCCGCTACCAACTTCTCCTTCCCACGGTAGGCGCACTTTAACGCTAAATTTTCGGCTTTTGTCGACTAGTTTATAACTGCAACGTTTAGTAAATTTTGAAAAAAGCTGAAAATTTAGCGTTACACTGCGCCTACTGTAGGAGGATGAGAAGTACGGTAGCGAAAAACTTTGTAACTAGATTCAGCATCCCTGGTCATTTTAACGTCCCTCGGGTTTTTTGGAATTCTTCAGACACAGTTCTCGCCTGTCAAAGCCTAAAAATAGTCAAAAATTCTTACCTTAATCCTACAGTAACTGGGAGAAATCGGTGATTCGCTCTATACTGCCAATCTAACGATAAGTCAAACCCAGCTCTACCGTAAGAGGCTCAAAGATCCGCGAGTTTCCATATAAAGAAGTTATTAAAGATCAAACGTTCGATACATTTTTTGGGACATCATGTATAATTGTTTTCCCGGTAACTAATATAGCCCTTTAAGTATTGTTGTTAGTTTGGCAACAATACAATCAGTTTTCATCGTGATTCATTGGGGAGCTCATGGATGTGATTGTAGAGCTGATTGATTGTAAAAAATGGATACGGTCTATCAACACAGTGGAAGCAATATTCTGCTCTCTTGTCGTCTTTGATCAAGTCTTACATATAAGCTAATAGTCAAGCAGGTTTCATGGTCAGAGTCTTCTAGTTTATTCTCACTTCCACATTTATCCCTTCGGCTCAAGACTAGCTGGCATTGGGTTTTGCTATTTCTTTTTCTCTTATGATACACCTTGAGTGTATAAATAAAGTAAAGTAGAATGAGCTTACAGAGTTTTGCCCGCATTTCCAATGCATCGTTTTCTGCGATGTTTTTGACAAAAAAATTAGTTGGACCGGTTTTTCTTCCACTATTGTTTGTTGCAAACTCCCTCTCTTTGTGACAAACGATTCTGCAAATAATTTCACCAAAAACATTCTAACATTCTTGACCCCTCTAGTTGCCAATATTTTTCAAGCAGAAGTAGCG